ACACACACACACACACACACACACAGTGTAAAGCCTGGCATACACTAAGAATTCAGGTAGTGTTTACAGCTTTCGTTATTATTCCTCCTTACTCAGTATCGGTTGGAAAGAAGGAGAGAGGAACAGAAGAGAGAACTCTAGCATGCCTCTGCCCAGACCATTCCTTCCCTGCAACTGGGGCTTCTGGAGTGAGAACCCCCTGAGCTGCAGCCCCTCTCTGTTCCCACCACTTCCTCTCTGTGGCTAGGCACCTGGCCAGGACCCAGGGCCCAGCTCTGGATAAAGTCAAAAAGCACTATCAATGAATCTTGCAGCTGTGAGCAGGGTGAGAGTAGAGGAGGTGGGAGGCAGAGGTGCTTGCCTCTACCTTATTTCTCCTAGTGGGAGGTTCTAAGATGCTCCCCCCGGGAGCTTCCCAGGGCTGAAGCATCATAGTTATGGTTTTCACATTACGTTAGTAGGGAAGGTGCAGGGATAAACTGGGGGAGCTGGCCTGTATAAGGAATGGGCTTGGGAAGAGATCACCAAACCAACCTTGACCCCTTGGGAGGAGGAGCAGCCTGGCACAAAAGTGACCAGAGGGACTAAAATCTTACTATTCCAAGTATAGTCTCCAGGCAAAGAGGCAACCATCCTGGAGCTCATTAAAGTATAGGTTCTCCCAAGCCCCGCTGTGGGCTGCTTAAACAAAGACCTGCTTTTGTTTTGTTTTGTGGTACTGGGCCATGGCACTCAGAACATTGTGAATACTGGGCAAGCCCTCCACTGCTGAGCTCCATCAGCAGCTCCAGCTCCTATATTTCAACAAGACCTCCAGCTTGCTCCATCATCACTGGCCTGCACCAGGCATTTTCACTTTTGTGAGAATGGAAATCGGAGGGCTTTGTTGTCGTTTTTTTGAAACAGGGCCTCAAACTCTACCCCAGGCTAGCCTGCAACTCATGGCAACCCTCCTGCCCCACCTTTCTGACAGCTGAGGTTGCCCCGCTGGAAGGTGTTCTTTCTCATGACCTTCGGGAGAAAGGCGCAATGAGAGAGCAGCAGGCAAGACACAAAAATCCTAAGAAAGCATGTCAGCAGTGTTTGGCTGCTGTGGGAGCCATGGGGCAGGAGCTGGGCTAGGGGCTCCTGACCTTTGATTGGCTCCAGTTCCTGGCACCGTTGGGCCCTGAGATGGTAAGTTCCTGGCAGACTAGGCTCCCAGGCAACAGTTTGAGTAATCCTGTGATTACTCAGCTCCCCCTCCCCAAACTGGGTTCAGGGACTGGCTCACCCTGTGAGTCTTAAAGGCTGGCTGTGGACGGTGTTTCTCAGCTCCTCTCACCAACTCCCTACCAGCCCTTCCCTCCTTTCTTCCCCAGATCACATATATACACACACGTGAACACGCGCACACACACACACACACACACACACACACACACACACACACACACACACGTACTTCTTTGATGTTTAAGTGTCTGGGGTGGATGGTACTAAAAGGAGTGCAGGTGTAGGGAAGCAGTACTAGAGAAAGTCAAGAGGCCTGGTTAAGGGGAGGGCCGGGCACAGCGGGGGCTTCCCTCTATTCCTGTTCTCTCTACTGCTTTAACTGACTCTTTTCCCCAGTCCCGAACCTCTTAGTCTTCTACTCATTTGGCTAGAGAGTCTAACACGGAGAGCTCCGATTCTGTGTGTCTGTCTCGTTGTGGACCACTGCCCTGGACGGATGATGGGAATTTAGAGGGGAGGCTGGGCTGGTAGCTGGGGTCCAGGGCTCCCACAGCCCCCAAATCTCACCGTCCTTGACCGGCCAAATCTCTTAAGACAGGCAGGGTCTTAGTCACACTGCAGTAAGGTTCCTGGGCTAGGACCGACCGTGGGTCAAGTATGGGACAGGGAGGTGTGACTGGGGTCATCCGTGCGGTCAGTGTACACACGCACACGGATGTGGCTCTTGGAGAAGGGAAGAGGTAGGGAGGCCTGTGGTTGCCTGCTGGGCCAGGGCCTGAGTTCCCACTGTGGCTTGGCCTAATCTCCCTACCACTTGCTTTTCTGGGTGACCTATGTTGGTTTCCCCCCTCTCTGGTCTTAGGGCCACCAGAGAGAGATATACCACAGTAGAGAGAAAAGAAGGTGTTAGGTAGGAGCGAGGCCCGTGGGCCAGCGTGCTCCGGCCTGCCTGCCATGCCCATGGATTCGCTTTATCTCAGACAGCAACAACCTGTAATGATCTGATCCTCCACGGTGCCCCCCAGAACTACTGTGTGACCTGCACCACAGGCAACTCTACTTTCACCCTCCTTCGCTGCCAAGAGAACTGAGGCTGAGAGTGTTGTGACTGGAAGTGTGCGTGCCCCCACACTTTCCATCCCTCTTCCAGGCACCCAGGTCCCCTCTTGTTCTCTCTTCCCTCCAAAGCTTGTAACTTACAGGAAACAATCTGAAAAGCACACTTGCCGTCTGGTGGCCACAGCTTACCGTGCAGTTGGCGGGTGGCAAGTATGTCTGGGGGTGGGACAAAGAACTGAGTTTTGGTTGAAGGATTTCAGACACTCATGTGGCCAGTCCCTTTAAGAGACAGCTACTTAATCTGACCCAGTTCTAGGCTAGCTTGAGAAGATCATGGTTTACGGATGATGGGATATTTGGGAAGTGGTGGACACATCACGGTCTACCTCTCTCCCTGGAATCAGCAGGCCTATGTGTGGTTTTGTTTTCTGAAACATGTTTTGCATAGTTCAGGCTAGCCAAGAACTCACTATGTAGCCAAGGGTAGTCTAGAACTCCTGATCCTCTGGCTTCCACCTCTTAAGTGCTGGAATTTTAGGGATGTGCAGCCCCACCCAGCTAGCAGGCTCACATGAGACCAGGCACCAGGCCCAGGCTGGAAGTGAGCTCACAGAGGTGTGAATTTGCTGTCCATGAGACACACTGTCCCTAGTGTGGGAAACATGTCCCAGACGAGAAGGGGCTTCACTCTAGACCATTTTTGTGGCCTGTTCCGGCTCTAGCCTTTCCATTTGGAGAAAACCAGAGGTCAATGATGGTGAGAAGAGGCACCCCACCACCACCACCCACCGAATCCTTAGCTGCTGGAAACATCTAGAGTGGTTGGGATTCCAAGCTTTACCCAGCTGCTGTACCTTCTCTCTCCATCCCCCAAAGAACTGCAGATTGAGTTTGGGCTTCATGCATGATGCTCCACCGTAGAGCTGAGTCCCCAGCCCTCTAGCTCTTTTGTTTTGTCTGGTTGGTTTGTTTGTTGATTGATTGATTGATTGATTGATTGATTGATTGGTTTTTTCAAGACAGGGTTTCTCTGTGTAGTTTTGGTGCCTGTCCTGGAACTCCCTCTGTAGACTAGGCTGGCCTCGGACTCATAGAGATCCGCCTGCCTCTGCTTCCTGAGTGCTGGGATTAAAGGTGCATGCCACCACACCCAGCTCATCTAGCTCCCTTTCAAGGAAGGACTAGAGAAAGCCTCTTGGTGACCCTTGAAATGCTGCAGAAAACTGTAGGGACTGACAGGGATAATCAGAGCAAAGGAAAGCAACCTGGGAGCAGCCGCAGCCGCAGCAGAGGGTGACCAGGCAGGACTGAGAGTGAATTCAGTGCGAGTGAAAACTTGGTTCTTTGTTTTGGTTTGGTTTTTGGTTTTTGTTTGTTTTTGGTTTTTCAAGACAGGGTTTCTATGTGTAGCCCTGGCTGTCCTAGAACTCACTCTGTAGAGCAGGCTGGCCTCAAACTCAGAGATCTGCCTGCCTCTGCCTCCTGAGTACTGGGATTAAAAGTGTGCACCACCACCACCTGGCAAAAAACTTGGGTTTTAGTGACCAGTAAGGAAGATCTACCTAACAAATATATACAAGTGTGCTGGTACAGTTTACCGTAAATCCGCAGGCCACATATACTTTCCTTTCCTTATTTTTTTTTCTTGAGACAAAAAATCACTATGTAGCCCTGGCTAGCCTGGATCTTGATCTGTAGATCAGGCTGGCCTTGAACACACAGTGATCTATCTGCCTCTGTCTCCCTAGCGCTGGGATCAAAGGCATGTGCTATCATGTCCAACAAGCCACACATACTTTTCATCTGTACACACACACACACATACACACACACACACATACACATACGTATGCCTTCACACAGGTCAAGAAGCCCTGCACCTAACATGTAATGAACAGTTCAGGAGGGTGGGGCTGTAGGCCCAGCACTCAAGCAAACCAGCTGTGTGAGCCTGAGCAAGCTAGTTCTTCATCTGTGACGGGAACAGGTGGATGAGGTGGTTTTAACAGTCATGGACTGTGCTCTCACGGATGGACACAGATGCCTTTGTATATCCTCTTGCAGGCTTATACATGGAGCACTACCTCATGCTGGTTCTGGGGCCAAGAGCCTGGAAACCCTATTTGGGCTCTTGGGCAATCAGCAAAGCTGGGTTGAGCCCTTCTCCAGGCTCCATCCCTGTTTCTTCCTAGTCTCTCTGTACCCCACTATACTGGTCCCCCTCAGTTCCTGCCCCTGGGTGGCCTTCCCTCTCTTCCAAGAATGACTGACATCTCTGTCTAGTGCCCAGTGTACCTCATCTTCTTGCCATGCCCCGTACTCTGTTCATGGGAGCCAAAGCTCAGTAGGGGGGAGGGGGCACAAAGGAAGCCCCTTGGGCGGGAAGCAGGTGTTATGAAGGACTCCTCTGGCTCTCGACAGGATGGGGGCTGGGAGGGAGGGCACTGGAGATATTCAACTTGAAGGGATAAGCAGGTGGCCTCTTCACAGCTGCTTTCTGCCTCCATAAAAGCTGATACAGCTCCAGCTGCTTTGTGAACAAAAGCGCAGCCTCCTCAGACCCTTTGCTGAGAAGCATCTATCACTTCACTTCCCCTTTTCTGATGCAAGAGGGCATGTTGGAGCCCACTGGAGAAGTGGGAGAAGCACCGGACACCTGCGCCTGCACCCCAGGTTCATGGTAGTGGAATCCAGAAAAAATAGCCTAACCCCTCTTTCTCTTCCAGCACAAATCGAAGTAATCCCTTGCAAGATCTGTGGGGATAAGTCGTCTGGGATCCACTACGGGGTTATCACCTGTGAGGGGTGCAAGGTGAGTTGCAGGAACTGGTCTGCAGACGCACACTTGGTGAGGGTCATGAGCATGAGGGAGGGGGACCTTGTCTTGGTGTGGGAAAGTGGCCGCAAGGTCAATCGCAATTATGCAGCGGGGGTTGGGGGGGTTTGGCGGGGCCCCAGATGTGGGAAGTCCTGGGACCAGCGCACCTTGAGCGCGGCCCGGGCGGGATAAGCCGTCTCTGTTCCCCAGGGCTTCTTTCGCCGCAGCCAGCAGTGTCATGTGGCCTACTCCTGCACCCGTCAGCAGAACTGCCCCATCGACCGCACCAGTCGGAACCGATGCCAACACTGCCGCCTGCAGAAGTGCCTGGCTCTGGGCATGTCTCGAGACGGTGAGGGTGTGGGGACAGGTCCCCAGAGTCCCTGCACGCTCCAGGGGTATCCTGCCTCTTGCCAGTCAGAGTTGGCCTGCAGAAACCCCCTGCCAGGGGCCTCTGGCCGTTCCTCCACCCGTAGCCCTTTGCCTCATCTTTTTGAGGGTCCCCAAGGCTCTTCAGGGTCTCAACTGCAGGCTCTGCTCCTGAAAACTTTTACCAATATCCTACTTCTCTTGTCTCCTCTTCCTCTAACGAATTCTCTTCATTCTGCCTTCTCCTGGCCTCGTTCCCATCCAGTTCCCACGCTGTTACCTCCTGCCCTGTCCTTACTTGTTACCCGAGCTCAGCTCCATCTCCCTCCTGTGTAGCCATCCTCGGACACAGGATCGTGGCTGGGAACACCATCAGAGTTGGCCTGAGAATGACCCAGGAGGTGGGGGATGGAGTGTGGTGTTCCTAGGGTCTTATCCACCCTCCTTACCCACCATCCTCACCGCAGAAGGAGCCCTGGGTGGTGGGGGGGGGGGGGGCCGCATGAGGTGAGGAGGAGCCAGAAGGAACCTGTCAGCACTTTTCAGTGCTCAAAATAACAAAGCGAAAGGAAACATGCAGGGGTGCAAAGGGGCAGGCGGGGCCAAGGGCTGTGCCCCCACACCTGGGAGGGGTTGGGGGAGCGAAAAGGCAGGAAAGAGAGCAGAAGAGGATGTTCAGAAGAAGCCGCGGAGCCTGGGTTGGGCTGTGGTGAGTATCTAGGTCACCAGGGAGCTTGCAGGCCTGACCACAGGGAGACCTGTGTTCACAGCCCTTCTCTTCCTCCAGCCCTCCCAGACAGGCACGCTGACCCCAATACAGCCTGAGGCCCCCTACTCAGCCCCCACCTCAGCGCCAGTCTCAGGAGACCAGAATCCCCAGCCTAAGCTCAGTGCTTGGTTTCTGTCATGATTAGCATCTAGTTGAGGACTCAAAAGAGTTTGCTAGAGATATGGAAAGACTGGATCCTAAAGGGAACAGAACCAGGTGTGGGAGAAGCCTGGAGCCTCAGCTCCCCAAAAGAAAGTTCACAGACAGAGCTGGAGAGATCCAATTTAGGGTCAGATTTGTGTGCCTGTGGACCCTGCCCTGTACTGATTCCCGAATCTTCTTCAGCTGTTAAGTTCGGCCGAATGTCCAAGAAGCAGAGGGACAGTCTCCATGCAGAAGTGCAGAAGCAACTGCTGCAGCAACAGCAGCAGCAGCAGCAGCAGGAGGAACAAGTGGCCAAGACTCCTCCAGCAGGGGGCCATGGAGCAGATACCCTCACATACACGTTGGGGCTCCCAGATGGGCAGCTACCCCTGGGCGCCTCACCTGACCTACCTGAGGCCTCCGCTTGTCCCCCCGGCCTCCTGAAAGCCTCGGGCTCTGGGCCACCATATTCCAACAACTTGGCCAAAACAGAGGTCCAAGGAGCCTCCTGCCACCTTGAGTACAGCCCAGAGCGAGGGAAAGCCGAAGGCAGAGACAACATCTATAGCACAGCCAGCCAGCTTACTTCTGGAAGACGTGGACTTCCCTTTGAGGGATCCAGGCACCCTGAGCTTGGGGAAGCAGAACAGGGTCCAGACAGCCACTACAGTCCCAGTTTCTGCAGTGCCCCGGAGGCACCGTATGCCTCTCTGACAGACATAGGTGAGCCTCTGGGAAGGGTGATGGGTGGGAAAAACGAGGGAAGAACTTTCCCCAGCACCCCTTGTAACCAAACGTTAGTCCTAAGGAACTAGGGGGCTCTGGACAAAGGGTCAAGGGAGGAGGCAGAGCAGGGTAGACCAGGGAGAGCCTCTTTAGGAGAGTCAGGGTGGGAACTGGCTGCAATCTAGCTGTGCCTTCCTCGTCCGGCCCCAGAGTACCTGGTACAGAACGTCTGCAAGTCCTACCGAGAGACCTGCCAGCTGCGACTGGAGGACCTGCTGCGGCAGCGCACCAACCTCTTCTCCAGGGAGGAGGTGACCAGCTACCAGAGGAAGGTGAGGGCAGGAGACACGAGGGAAGGGAGGGCATCACGCCACACACACACCGGAAGAGCCCAGGGATGGCTACTTGCACAGGTAGGGGGGCAGTAGGGTATCACAGACAGGCTGGCCAACAAGGGTGTCTTGTCTATACCCTAGCAGCTAGATGAGAATGTTGCCCTAGCTCCTGCTTATCGAAATTTACCCAGCTAGCAACCTGCCTCCTCATCCATCCAGACCTTGCCACACTGCCTTTCATGCTCCATCAGTAACTGACCCTAACCAGTATCTAAGGGCCATTTATTGAATACCCTTTCTTGTCAGTCTTTGTAATAGAGGCTTTGATGAAGTATGTCCAACCTGCAGACGGTGAGCTACATGTGCCTAAAGACAGTGATAAATGTGGCCCAGTCCACAACTGTGAGGGTTTGTTTGTTTGTTTGTTTTGTTTTGTTTTTGTTTTTTCCAAGTCAGGGTTTTTCTGAGTAGCCCTGGCTGTCCTGAAACTCACTTTGTAGACCAGGCTAGTCTTGAACTTCACCGGCCTCTAGCTCCTGAGTGCTGGGACTAAAGGTATGCACCACACCTGGTTTTAAAACATGAGATTTTTTAAAACTGATTCTCAGGTGTGAACTTTGTAGATAACCATGTCATATCACCATGTCGAAGGTTAGACATATATGGGAGATCATCTTCAGCCCTCCCAACAACTGACCTCTGAGAATAGCGTTTACAATAAGGAGAGGTGCTCAGGATCACAAAGTGATAGACCCAAAGTCAAGTTCAAATCTGAGGGCTCTACTGTATCTGCTGTCCCCTTCTGTCGCCCTCTGACGATACCAGCGACTTTGACATCAGCTGGCACTTCACATTCGCATCTCTCAGTTACTGAGACCTTCTTCCTGGGGAGCAGCAAGCAACAATGTGTACATTGTTTGCAAGTGAAACCGTACCTTGTTTGGTTTCCCTTTATCCACTGCAGCAGAAAGTTTCCATTTCTACACCATGTTTCAGGAAAGACACCACCTCCTATCTGGAGTCACTCTGTAGGAGTCTGGGGAGTTCTCAGCCAACCTTTTCTTGCTCATAACAGAATCCTAGCTCCTAACATTGAATAGGCTTCATGAAAGACCAGGTTTTCAGGAAGAGGGTAGCTTGGAGTTAAGAAATTAGAAGTTTTCATCCCTTATATACCTCTCCAGGTTTCCCTATACTGAGCCTGGGGGGCGGCAGTATCAGTAAGTGGAACCCACTGACAGGAATTGGCCCTGGGTACATTTGTGCTAATAGGCTTGAGGGTTGAAACACGGAAACATAGAACCAACTCCCTGCAGTTTATGGGGGTGCAGGGACTTGGAAGAATCACAGGTTTCCTCCTCTGTCCCTGCAGTCGATGTGGGAGATGTGGGAACGCTGTGCCCACCACCTCACTGAGGCCATTCAGTATGTGGTAGAGTTTGCCAAGCGGCTCTCGGGTTTCATGGAGCTCTGCCAGAATGACCAGATCATACTACTGAAAGCAGGTGCCCTGGGATGGGCAGACCCTGGGACGGGAGGAAAGCATGGGCTGGGGATGGAAACAGAGCAAGCCTGGGAGACGAGCGAGCGAGGGGCGGCCTAAAGAAGCCAGGATCCTGGGGGAGTCAGTTCCTGGCTTGGCCTGACACTGCCCACCCATCTCTCTCCCCCTTATCTAGGAGCAATGGAAGTTGTGCTTGTCAGGATGTGCCGGGCCTACAACGCTGACAACCATACAGTCTTTTTTGAAGGCAAATATGGTGGCGTGGAGCTGTTCCGAGCCTTGGGTGAGGGGCAGGGGGAAATGAGAAGTTCCTGATGCCCATCCTCTCTAAAGCCTCTATACAGGGTTGATGGTCCCCCTGCTCTAAATGCCCAAAGGGTGGTGCCCTTGGAGACCAGCTACCATGCTTACTCTCTTCATCTCCGCTCTGGCAGGCTGCAGCGAGCTCATCAGCTCCATATTCGACTTTTCCCACTTCCTCAGTGCCTTGCGTTTTTCTGAGGATGAGATTGCCCTCTACACAGCCCTGGTTCTCATCAATGCCAGTGAGTGTGGCTGGGCCTGGGAAAGGGTACTCTAGTGGCTAGGACACAGCAGCTCTTGGGGAGCCTAGGCCTTCGGATGTGGCTAAATCTGGGAGAGGGCTTGAAATAGCAAAATGAGCGCTGCCCCACTGCTTCTGTAAAATGAAACAGATTAAAGCATCCAGAGGAACCTTAAGACAGAACAAGAGCAGCCTAACACGGGGCAGTAGGAGCAGGGAGAAGGGAGCTTGGGAGGAAATGAGCCACCTCCCCAGAAGACATTAATCTACTGGTCAGTGTTTGGCAGTGACTCCTTTGCAGCATCGTAATTGCCTGGGGAGCTCTGAGAACTGATTGAGTGCCTGGGTCCCACTTCACGTTCTGATGTAACTCATCCGGGCTGCATCCGAAATTTTAACCACCACCTCCAGATTGAGCCATTAAGGTTAAGAATGATGTCTTGGTGTGAGCTCATTTTGAGACAGAATGCCTGCAATGGCGGTAAGGCTCTGGAGATCCACTCCACTGGACTAGAGCATCTGGGCCAAGCCAGCTGAACACTAAACATCCACAGGACCTAGGAAAGTGGGCCTGCTGCTCTGGGTTTGTTAATTAGTAGTACAAGTCTTCCAATTCTGCCAACATGGCCTCAAGCCGGAAGCAAGACTTTATAGATGACTTCTGGGTATTTGAGGGAAGTAAAGGCAGAGGTAGTTTAGGAGTTGAAAGAGAGCCACAGACTACTTTAGAGGCCTTGGTGCCTACCTGGACAACATCAGGAGGTCACCTGAGTCACTCTTGTAGGAATGGGGAAGCTCTCTTCCAACATTTTACCTCCATGACAGAAATCTAGTGCCTGACATTGAATGAGCTACGTGAGAGAGCAGGTTGTGGGGTTGCTTGGAGTTGGGAGGCTAACAGTCCCCGCCCCTTTCATCACTACAGTTTCCCTAGTAGTTAGCTAGACAGGCCCAAAGTCCCATCTCTGCTGCTATCAAACCAACACACACACACACACACACACACACACACACACACACACACACACACACACTCAACTGAGAGGGCCTCTCCAAAAAAGATATATGACACCATTTTGCTGGGCAAGACTGCTGGTGTTGTTTCCGTTTCACTCTGGTCCCATCCCTTCCTTCAGACCGACCTGGGCTCCAAGAGAAAAGGAGAGTGGAGCATCTGCAGTACAATCTGGAGCTGGCCTTCCACCATCATCTCTGCAAGACTCATCGCCAAGGCCTCCTCGCCAAGGTAGGAACAGTTCATAGGCTGGAGGAGACAAGACCCACAGGCAGTTCCGGGGTCTCCAGGAGCAGCGGAGGGAGTGCTGGAGTGCTGTGTTGTTTCAGAGGGTTTGCAACAGCAGTGAGGACAGCAGGAACAACTGTTCCCATGTACAGAGAGATGGAAAGTTAGCCTGGAGTTGTAAGAGACCTCCAGGGAGCAATTCGGTTTAATATAGCCAACACTTAGCCAGCACCTGCTTATACAAAGCTCTGTGGAAAGATACAGAGATGCAGTTCTTGTCCCCACGAAGAAATGTCAATCTAGGGTAAAGAGATTTGCATACCTTCTGATATAACTCTAATATGGAGTAGAATGTGTGATATTTTAATAGTGAGATTAAAAAAGTGCTTTTGATGATAGGTCTCTTATCCTTAAGGCAGCTATAATCAAACAGGGTTAAAACCTTCCCGTAACAATAAAGTGATTTCAGTGACATGTATTAATTGATAACACAAATCTTAATCCCAGTGCTCTCTCGACAATATCCCCTGGGGCCCCTAATTGAATGTTATAAAAGCCTTTGAAAGCACACACTGGCGGTGCGTGCCTGTACTCCCAGCACTCAGGAGGAAGAAGGAAGCAAGACAAACAGGAATTCAAGGTCATCCTCAGCTATTAACAAGTTTAAGGCCAGCCTGGGCTACATGAGACCTCCCCCCCTCTAAAAATGGGGGTCACTTTTGGAAAAATTATGGTGTAGACAGGGGTTCAAAATAATTTAAGGGCCTGACGAGATGGCTCAGCGGGTAAAGACACTTGCCACAAAGCCTAGCATGGTGATCTGAGTTTGATCCCTGGGACCCACATGGTGAAAGCAAAAATCTAACTCCCGCAAGCTGACCTCTGACCTACACACACACACACACACACACACACACACACACACACACACACACACAAATTAAAAAATGTAAACATTCTTCACAACTTGAAGGTAAAGGGAGTAGAACATAAATGTTTCCTTAAAAAGGTGTGAAGCAAGATAATGAGGCCATGAAAGATAGAGGTTTCAGCAAGCATTCGTGAAGGCAGGGCAGGGATCCAGGCTTGGGGAATGAGATGAGTGGAACTCTAAAGAGGCCAACTAGTATGTAGAGGGAGGGTGGCTCATGGCACATATTCCCATGTATGTGCGTATGCCTGTAGAGGCCAGATAACCTCGGCTATCATTCCTTGGTGGTGCCATCTTTTTATATTTTTTTCATATTTTTCATTCATTCATGTCTGTTGAGAGACCCCAGAGATCTGCCTGTCAATCTCAAATGTCGAGATTTTAAGCATGAACTACCTTGCCCAGCTTTCTTTTTATCTTTTTCTTTCTTTTCTTTTTTAATTTGTGTTTGTTTGTTTGTTTGAAAACAAGGTTTTTTTTTTTTTTTTTGAATAGCCCTGGCTGCCCTGGAACTTGTTTTGTAAACCAGGCTGGCCTTGAACTCAGAAATCAGCCTGCCTCTGCCTCCCCAGTGCTGGGATAAAGGCGTGCGCCACCACACCCAGCTTTTGCCTGGTTTCCTTTATGTGGGTTCTGGAAACTGAGTTCAGGTCCTCTTGCTTGAAGGCCTGCACTTAACTGACTGAGCCGTCTCCCTGATCCTCGTGGTACTTTTTTTGTACAAGTGAGGCTAGAAGCTGGGGTAGACTGGTGAAGCAGGAGAGTAGCAGAAGGTAGGCTTGCAAACCGTTAGGGGAACAGCAGCAGCGAAGACTTCCAGTACCACAGGAAGAGTGAAGGCTTTGCTTCTAGGCAATGGGGAGCCCGTGCCATATTCAGAGCCGTCATTAGGGAATTTACTTTGTAAAGGATCCATTTGTGTAATCGTTCTCTTAGGCCCTTGTGACACACAGTCACCGTGCTGGTACTAAGCTACAGAAATTACCTCAAACAGTCTCTCCTGAGGAATGTAAACTTCAATCAACAAAAGAGGGAGGGACTAGACCTGGGAAAGCAATTGGAATGTAAATGTGCTTGGATCCACTTGGTGTGTTTTGTATCTTTTTTTTTTTTTTTTGAGACAGGGTCTCACATAGCCAGGGCTGGCCTTGAACTTGTGATCCTCCTGCATCCACCGCCCAAGTGCTAAGATCACAGGCATGTACCACCATGCCCAGAAGGATCCACTTTCAAAATACATCACACCTTCTATGACGTACCCCCAGCTCTTGGCCACAGCTAGACTATTAAACTCCTAACTCAACTTCCTACCCTCTCTTTGTCTGCCATGTCAGAGCCACACAGCACTCCCTCCGTTCCCATGCTGGCCCTTTTCAGGAGGCAAGACCATCTCCTGCCTTTTTTGTTCCCCACCCTCCTGTGGCTGCCAAAACTTCAACTCTAGAGTCTATGCTACGGTCAACGGGACCATGATGTCATCCTGCCTTCTTCCTCCCTGACCTTGCCCCACTCCTGGCTCCTGACTCGGACCACACTGTTTCTTTGCTAGCCCTTCAACATACCATGTCCGGTCCCATCTCTCTCAGGGCCTTTGTACCTGCTGCTGTCTCCTGTGGGATTCCCTCCCTGTTTCCAATTGTTTTTCTCCATGCCTTCATTCAGGAGAGGTTTTCCCTAAACAATTACCCACCAGGAGAAGGACTCCATCCCTCATCCTGCTTTAGTACTAAACACAGTTGTATACTGTGTACTAACAGGAATATGTTCTCAGAACCCAGGCAGCTTCACACTGTGGAGGCACCATAGGCTGTACTCACAAATACACACAGCTACACGGCCACCGCCCCTGTAGCCTTACGGAACCACTGTAGTTAGAGGTTCGCAATCCTCCAAAAGGTGGTGAGGCAGCATAGAGCGCATTTATGACTCCCTAGCTACCGTGTACATTTAATCAAAGTACAGTTTTTATTCACTGATGTTACATCAGAGCTCACGACCGTGCCTCATCTAGATTGGCCAAGTTTCTCAATAATTATCTTTTGAATGAATAACAGAAATTATTATGGAAACCCAGCAAACTCAAAGTACTAAAACACAAAAGGCTAATAAATTCAAGAGAGGTGGGGGAGTCACCCTGCTGCTTTTCCCTGACTGGTACTTTCCTAGGGAGCTGGGCTAAGAAAGGGAGGTGGTAAGAAGGAGGCGTTTGTAAGTCTCACTTCGTTGTACTCGCAGTTGCATAGACATGATGGTGTCTGGGTCTTTCTCCCTGCCTCTGTCCCAGGGGCTGCTGCCTCTTCCTTTGGCTGAAGGCTGACTGGACTGATCTCTATTTGCTGTGCTGGGTACCTGCTTAGAAACTGTTCAGTTCAAACAAGCAGTCGTTGAATATTTATGCCAGCATTATAATGGGACCGGAAGAGACCTAGCGAGAGAAAGACCGAGGGACCTCATCTTAGGAAATGTGGGGCAGGAAGGCAGACAAATTGGGTCCTTTTTCTACAGTGTGGCAAGTAGTACATAGAAGGAAGCCTGGAGGAAGGGCTCTAACTCAGCAAGGGATGGCGGGGATAACACCAGAAGGGAAGAATCAGTGGAGAAAAGAGAATTAGAAAAGCATTCCAGATGAGGAAACAACATGAACCAAGGCAAAGAGCTGTGGGAGTAAAGTCAGTTCAGGGGTAGGCAGAGCCACGTAGGCCACCATTCAAGTGTGCCCTTGCTAAGCCAGGCATGGTGCTGAGGGCACAGAAGTGACTTTCAGAACTGAACCCAGACCAGGTTCACCTGTCTCATATCGGTCCTCGCTTACCCTTCTGTCTCCAGACACACATACATCTCACCAGTGGGACTGACTGCTCCACAGGGGCCACGTGGGGGGAAGGCAGCAGGGAGGGCTCTCCTAGCTCAACAACAGCAAGAAGACATTTTTGCTGTGGTAGCACTGAAGGACTGACCCTCATTCCCTCCTAACCCATCCCCAGCTGCCACCCAAAGGGAAACTCCGGAGCCTGTGCAGCCAGCATGTGGAAAAGCTGCAGATCTTCCAGCATCTCCACCCCATCGTGGTCCAAGCGGCCTTCCCTCCACTCTATAAGGAACTCTTCAGCACTGATGTTGAGTCCCCTGAGGGGCCAACCAAGTGACCTGGAGGAAAGACAACTTAACTTCCTTCAGCCTGAAGGCCCGTCTCCCTGGACTCCATTCCCTCAGCATCCACCTTCCTGTGCTCTGTGGAGGGTGGTCTCCCTAGGAGTGAGCAAACACTGAGACTTGTTTTCTGCCCTCCCCCGCCCCCAGGCTTGCCTGGCAGAACAACAGTAGCAGGCGATGGAGAAAAGGCTTGCTATGGTTGATTTCCCATAAGTTCCACCCTGGCTTCTGGAAGGTGTGGGGTAGATGGGATGTAAAGGCCTGTAGGACAAACAAGTCGAACTAAAAACAAACAGACAGGGGGATAAATCTGGGTACCAGGATGAAGAGAACTCAATTCTAGGCTCCAAAGCTCACAGAAGTCCTTCAAATACCTCATTGTATTTCTCCAGCTGGGGGAGATGGATCTAGCTCAGAGACTGGTGGTGGCAAGCAGTCAGAAGCAAGAATCCAGATCCTTGAGATTTTTCTGCCTCCCTCCTTCTTAGTTCAGTAAAGAAGTTGTTGGCTACCCTGCCCTTTTTCTGGGACCTAAAATACCTGGATATGTAAAGATGAAGGGTGGGATGGAAATGAGGGGCCAGGCTAATGGTTTGGTAGGGTTTGGGTGTGGAGAGAGGGAGCAGTGGAGGCCAAGAGCATCACTGGCGGAGTTAGAACGGGAACCTCGTGGGTGCACTCTGAGTCGGCTCTGTTAGCACAGTCTAATCAGAGCCACACATCCACACACACAGAGATGGAGCACAGAGCAACTCTGCCTGCCGTGACGCAGTCCTGGAGATACTTTTCCTCTGACACAACCTCTTCCCTGCGGTCACAGCTCAGAGAAGCCTAAGGGGCTTAGGAAAGAGTTCCAATCCATACAGGATGCCAGAACACACCATCCCAGCTCCAGCTGTCTTCTGTCCCAAGAGCTATCCCTAAGAGAAGCAGAGGACTGGACGCTGACCAGCCAGAAACCTAAGGACCGGCACCCAGGAGGATGCCCTTGACCTCAGCCTCTACCCTGCCCTCTCTGTGAGGAAGGAGGGCAGTCCCATCCCTTGCTCTGTGTCTGTGTGCCACCGACTCCAGTATGAGGGAGTGACTAGGCAGGGACCTGTTTCTCCTCCATAATCTTGCGCTGAACTTATCTCAGCTTTGTAAAGCTGTGGACTCTCCTAGGAGGTGTAAGCAGCCGAGGAGACGGAGGGAGATTTTTTTCCTCTCGGGGGAAGGGCTTAGCTAGGCAAACATAAACCCCTACTTGTGCCATTCTTTATAAAATGAGTTTAAAAGCTGGAAGTGTGTGTGTGTGTGTGTGTGTGTGTGTGTGTGTGTGTGTGTGTACACGTGTACATGCATTTGTGCAAAGGTGGAGGGCGTGTGTGTCGTTTGGTGGGAGACTTGAATATGACTGCCCAGGATACAAGCTTGCTCTGCAGTCTTGTTCCTATGTCAAGTCAGCAATCCATCTGTTTTATAGGAATTTTAGCCCCCCAGATTCTTCCCCCCAAACTAAGCAGTCCCTCAGGGAGACTTGGAAACTGATGCTCTGGTACCTGGCACTGGAGGAATGGCAAACTAAGCCGCAGGAAGATATTCTGGACTGAGAACTTCCGACAAATGATACCCACAGGCCCCTTTAGATTTAGAGATTGCACAGAATTGCCCTGCATCTAAGAGACTGGAAGCTGTGGAAGAGGTGTCCCAGGAGCTCTCTAGCTCCCCAGGAGGAACCAGGATGTCAGAACTCTTTCAAGCTTCCCAGGAAGTCTCAGTGGCAGACCCTGCCCCAGCCCCAGACTCCCCCTGTTCATTTCCTCCCCCAATTCCGTCATCCCGTCATCGTGGCGGCGCTTGCTGCAGCCCTCCCTGGTTGCTTTATTTATTTATTTTGCACCAACAGGGTTGCTGCAGACTCATTCTCGCCTGGTTTAAAAAGAGAGAGAGAAGAGCAAGGGGAAGAGAGAGAGAGAGAGAGAGAGAGAGAGAGAGAGAGAGAGAGAGAGAGAGAGAGAGAGAGAGAGAGAGAGAGAGAGAGAGAGAGAGAGAGAGAGAGAGAGAGAGAGAGAAATGCTTTCTGGCTCTTTTCTCTCCCTTGGTCTTGGCAACGCGGCCGCAGTAGCAGCAGAGGCGGCGGCGGCGGCGGCAGCAGCTACAGCAGTCCCGCCAGCCGGCTGATGCTGCAGGCTGCCGGGCAGTGGGGAGTGGGGAGTCATACACACAGGGGAGGTGGAGGGGCCAAGGTGCAGCTCGGATGGGACAGGCCCCAGCCCTGGAGAAATGCAGCGCCCAACTTGATGCCACCCTCCAGCTTCTCCGGTAAGTGCCCCTGCTCTCTTTGCGGAAGTCTCAGCTGCCCTTTCCCATAGCAATCTCAAAGACAAGGCCAGGCTAAGTGTGCCTGTAAAGGAAAGGGAGCTTGCACCCTCCACCCCAGCCAACCATTCATCCTGCCGCCCCACACAGAACTGTGAATGAAAAACTAAAATGTCCAAGGTAACCCTGGTTGGGGGACTCCAAGGAGATCCCTCCTCCTTCTCCCTAGTGTTCCTTCTACCTCTAGAAAGGACTTTTCCCCCCACAGTCAGTGTGGATACTCCAAAAATCTCTCTCCTAAGTGACCCCTCCCCATGCCTCAATCAGGTGTGCTTTTAAGTGAATGAGTTTTCATATGGGTCTATGGCTGTCACATAGAGAAAGAAGAAAGCTCCATATCCCTGTGGGGGCAGGCAATGCCCCAGACTCCAGAAGGAGAGAAAGCGCTTTTGTAACGTCTACCTCTTTCTGCAAAGTGACCAGAGGCCAGTCCTGTAGCCACCGAGGATAAGAAAGGAAGACTATGATTAAATTAGCCACCTTATAAATAAAAGATGTTGACCCGAAGTCCCCCCCAACCACTGGGCCAGCAGGCTTTGGGGACAAAGAAGAAACTCATGGAAGCAGGAAGGAAGGGAGCTGGCACACATGCTTCACTGCACTTTTGCTGAATGCAGAGCAAAGCGATGAGCAGGAACTGCAGCAACAGTGATGAAGAGCGAGCTGTCAGGTGGACTTCCCAGAACAGGCACAGGGAGAGGAGAGACTAAGAATTCTTAGCACCCCAGAGATGCCTGTTAGGCTAATGAAAGGGTCAGGAGGGAAGACTTAGCAGCCCGTTGCCCCTTGCCACTCTTTCCCCTCCCAAGTCACCCTCATCCCCTGCTCTTTCCTCCGGTCTCTGGTCTCCGTACTGAGGGTTGAACTTGGTGTCTTCATTCCCCAACTGCGACTCTGAAGTGGCTGGAGGGGAGTCTCCAGAATGATTCTCCTAGAGTGTAGGAAGGAAAGGGGAGCCACAGCTCCTAACCAGCTCCTCCTGTGTTCCACATGGAAGAAAATAGGACATGCAGCAGAAAGCTGACTCCACAGGGCCCAGGAAACCTGAAACCCCCAAGTCCAGAGGTGCAGGACCTGCAGCCAGGGGACACCCAGCAGGCGGCCTGCAGGAATGCCAGCTTGTCCTGCTCCTGTCCCTCTGCCATCTCTTGCTAATTCTAACATTCCTCCTCTCTTGCGGTCTCTATTGCATTAGCAAGGCAAGCAGAGGCACTCAACACTTAAGACACCTCCACCGTCTCTATCACCTTATTCAGCCTCCAACAGTTATCATAGTCACCATCTGCTGATACTGCCCAGGCTTCTGGTACCCAGAGACCCACTTTATATAGATGGGTGTTGTGCACTGCTTGGGTTCAGGTGTCTGCTATGCTAGCCAGTGGCTCCCTTCCTCCCACCCATGGCATCTGGTCATGGCTGTCTCTCCCTCTTTACCCATGCTTCCTGGGATCACAAGCCGTTTCTGGTGTCTTCTTGGGCAGCTCAGGCAGAAAGAGGTAGAAGCTCTCTTTCAGATGCATGTACAAACTAGACTCACCAGTAAGGGAGGAGAGAAGAGAAGCCCAAGGCTGAGGACCCCATGCAGAACCTTAGCACCCTTTGGATAGTTTCCACATCCCAATCCCTCTATAAAGGAAGAGGTGCTGTCCCTGGGGCTCTTGTAAGGGATCCCCAATCTCATCATCCAGTGCCCCCGCACTCCATTCCATAGCTAATATACAGCCAGGCTTGTCATCCACACAAACATTGTGGGGACACCAATTTGGCTAGTCCAGAGCCTGGGCCCTGGGCCAGGCTGAAAGAAGGCAGAAACTGGAGCAAAGCTAAAGCTTGCATGTCCCTTTGCTTCTGATGACTGGTCAAGGCGAGGTCCTCTTTCCAGTCAGCACAGGATCAGAAACTCCAGTCTGGATGGGATCTCCCTGAGCCTTAGGTAAAGATGTAGGCACAAAATATGGGAGAACAAGAAAGGGGCAAGAGAGTCAGGTGGTGGTGGCACACACCTTTAATCCCACCACTCAGAAGGCAGAGGCAGGTGGATCTCTGTGAGTTCGAGGCCAGCCTGGTCTACAAGTTGAGTTCTGGGACAGCCAGAGCTGTTACACAAAGAAACCCTGTCTCAGAAAAAATAAACAAACAAAAAGGGCGGGAGGGATGAGAGGAACAGAACAGAGTTCTGTTTGCAGAGATCAGATGTCACAGAAACAGGACCTGAGGTATTCCTGGTCTCATAGATACGGAGGGCAGGGGGGAAATGCAGGGAAACGCTGAGTTCTTTCCCTACTACTCAGTCCCTTAAACCTTCCACCACAGAAATCAGCTTGACTAGGGATCCATGCACAGAAAGTTCATGGCTGGTTATTCAGGGCTGCAAAGGAGAGATTTCCCCATAGGAGGAGCCTTAAGAAGCCCCAAGAAGGTGATACAGGTTTCCCCAGTTATATGTCACACTTGCTGGCAAGATTGAGACAACAGGCCACTTTTCCTCCCCTTTAAGGAGGCTCAGGGGAGTGCAGGGTCACCATCATCTGAAGCCACTTTCCAAAAAAGGCCATGTCATCATCTATTCCAGGCCTCAGGGGATGGACGCAGCCACAGCTCCAAAGCAAGCCTGGCTCCTGTGGTCCCCACTCCTTTTCTTGCTCCTCCTACCTGGGGGGAGCATCAGTAGCTGCCCTACTGTGTGTGACTGCACCTCCCAAACCCGGGCAGTACTCTGTGCCCATAGGCGACTGGACACTGTCCCTGGAGGGCTTCCACTGAACACAGAGCTCCTGGATTTGAGTGGGAACCGCCTGTGGGGGCTTCAGCGAGGCATGCTCTCCCGACTGGGCCAGCTCCAAGAACTGGACCTCAGCTACAATCAGCTCTCTACCCTTGAGCCTGGGGCCTTCCATGGCTTACAAAGTCTACTCACCCTGAGGCTCCAGGGCAATCGACTGAGAATTGTGGGTCCTGGGATCTTCTCAGGCCTGTCTGCTCTCACACTGCTGGACCTCCGCCTCAATCAGATCGTCCTCTTCCTAGACAGAGCCTTTGGTGAGCTAGGCAGCCTCCAGCAGCTGGAGGTTGGAGACAATCACCTGGTGTTTGTGGCTCCTGGGGCCTTCACAGGGCTGGCCAGGCTAAGTACCCTCACCCTGGAACGCTGTAACCTCAGCACAGTGCCTGGCCTAGCCCTTGCCCAGCTCCCAGCTCTAGTAGCTCTTAGGCTTCGCGAACTGGATATTGAGAGGCTGCCAGCTGGGGCACTTCGAGGGCTAGGTCAGCTAAAGGAGCTGGAGATCCACCACTGGCCATCTCTGGAGGCCCTGGACCCAGGGAGCCTGCTTGGGCTCAATCTGAGCACCCTGGCCATCACCCGCTGCAATCTGAGCTCAGTACCCTTCCAAGCACTATACCACCTGAGCTTCCTCCGGGTCTTGGATCTATCTCAGAATCCTATCTCAGCCATTCCAGCCCGAAGGCTCAGCCCCCTCATCCGGCTCCAGGAGCTCAGGCTGTCAGGAGCCTGCCTCACTTCCATCGCTGCCCATGCCTTCCATGGCCTGACTGCCTTCCACTTGCTGGATGTAGCGGACAACGCCCTTCAGACTCTGGAGGAAACAGCCTTTCCTTCTCCAGATAAACTGGTCACCCTGAGGCTGTCTGGTAACCCCCTAACCTGTGACTGCCGCCTCCTCTGGCTGCTCCGCCTCCGTCGCCACCTGGATTTTGGCACCTCCCCTCCTGCTTGTGCTGGCCCCCAGCATGTCCAAGGGAAGAGCCTAAGGGAGTTTTCAGACATCCTGCCTCCGGGCCACTTCACTTGCAAACCAGCCCTGATCCGAAAGTCAGGGCCTCGGTGGGTCATTGCAGAGGAGGGAGGGCATGCTGTTTTCTCCTGCTCTGGAGATGGAGATCCAGCCCCCACTGTCTCCTGGATGAGGCCTCAGGGAGCTTGGCTGGGAAGGGCGGGGAGAGTAAGGGTCCTAGAGGATGGCACCCTGGAGATTCGCTCGGTGCAGCTGCGGGACAGGGGGGCCTATGTCTGTGTAGTCAGCAATGTTGCTGGGAATGACTCCCTGAGGACCTGGCTGGAAGTTATCCAAGTTGAACCACCAAATGGCACTCTCTCTGACCCCAATATCACCATGCCAGGGATCCCAGGGCCTTTCTTTCTGGACAGCAGGGGTGTAGCTATGGTGCTGGCAGTGGGGTTTCTCCCCTTCCTCACCTCAGTGACCCTCTGCTTCGGTCTGATCGCTCTTTGGAGTAAGGGCAAGGGCCGGGTCAAGCACCACATGGCTTTTGATTTTGTGGCACCTCGGCCCTCTGGGGATAAGAACTCTGGGGGTAACCGGGTCACTGCCAAGCTATTCTGATCTTTTCTTCCACACTGAAGACTACCCAAGTCCACTTTAGACGCCAAAGGGAAAGGTAGGGCTAAAGTCTGTTGAACCACAGCTTCATGTCAGACAACATGCCCCCCCCTCCACCTGTCACCTGCACTCTGAGAGCTGCTCTAGTCTGAGGATAGCATTGGCACCTCTTCATCGAGGGCCCCAGGGAGCTGCAGATAGAGACCTTATCGCCAAGACAGCCCCCACTTGGCATCCCCACACTAGGCCGGAAAGAAATGCAAGGCTCCAGTCTGCTCTTCACACACTTATATCCATTAATATCCAGGACCAGCTGCCTAACACAACCATAAGATTAATTTCAGAAGTGAGCCGGGAAGCACCACAAGCTTCTGAGTCCGTTCATCATGCAGGCATCCTCCCTTCCTTTTCTGCTACCCAGTACCAAATCCAGCCAGCGCCCCTGGGTGCAAGCAGGAACTAGAGCTGAGGATCCAGAGATGCCTGCCAGTGCGGCCTGACTCCACTCTGGCACTCGGCTGCCTGCAGGAGCTTCCACCACCTTCCGGACTGTCAAAAGCCACCACAGTGGCAGTGAGAATGAAACCTGATCCCTGGGACTTTATTTACTTCCATCTACTTCTTCCCGTTCCTCCTTTTTCAGCTATTGATCATCGAGCCTCCACCTACCCAAGCCTGGCACAAAGGCTGAGGAGGCCCACACGGCCTGCAGAGATCAGTGCTCCTTGCTCCTCTCCGTGGGCACCCTTGCCCCCTTGCTCTCCTCTCTAGAGCCAAAGAAGGGCAGATTCCCCCACCTTTGAAGGGATGCCTCTGCAGCAATCCCCCGTTTCGCATCTTCAGTCACTCCGGGGTTGCAGATCCCAAGCACGCCTGGCAAGGGGAAAGCCAGAGGGGAACTCCTAAGAGTCACGCTAATAAACACAAGAATGTGCAGCTGGGAGCAAGGCTGGGGCGCTCAGCAAGCCACGTGAGAAGTGGAGGGAAGGTGGCAGCAGCTGCCTAGACGCTTCGCACCAGCCTCAGCTCCCCCAGCTGGATTTAGTGTGGCCCCAGTGGGAAGCTGACCCTGGATAAATGTCACCTCAAAGAGGAAGTGGAGTGAGAGGTAGAATCGCTGACTGCTACAGTGTGCTTCCAACAGAGGATGGAGCAGAGCCCAAAGCACAGACATGCTGGGAGCTCTAGACACTGACAGCATCAAGCATCAGAAGGGGAGGAGGAAGGGGGGCGGGGAGGACAGGAGGAGGGGCTGACATAAGGAGAGTCACGCAGCCCCGGGGAGCCTTTTCTCTTGACTGCAGCATCTAGCCAGGGTTTCCTTCCTCCTTGCCCCGTCCCTGCCCACCTCACACCCAAACGTATGCCACCATAAGCTTTCTGGTGGCTGCTGTTGCCCTTGCTAGGAGGAGACTCCACTCGCTGCTGCAAGATCCCTAGCTCAAACTGTCCCTGACAGGTGAGCGGTACTGAGCCAGCAAAGCTGGACCGAGGACAGGACGCAGGCGCACAAGCACTTGGGAGCGCCAGAAGTGGCTGTAGGAGCTTAGGCGTTAATAGAGCAAGGCTGGAGAAAAGGACATTCTTGAGAAATAGGCAACTCTGAGACCCCAAGCTCCTCCATGCCCTCACAGTCCAAAGGACAATTCGGCAACCTCCTCCTCTCCCTCCTCTTCTACCAGCAGCTTATTAGGTCGGGACCTGGGAGCTGCCTGGGGGTGCTCCATTCTAAGATGTATCTCTTTTGTCTCATGTGTATGTGTGAGTGCATGCATGTTTGTGTGTGCACCGTGTGTGTACTTGGTGCCCACAGAAGCCAGAGGAGGACACTAGATCCCTGCAGCTGGAGTCTTCCATGGTTGTGAGCCAACATCTGGGTACTGGTAACCAAACCCAGGTCCTCTACAAAAGCAATAAGTGCTCTTAACCACTGAACCATCTCTCCAGCCTCCCTCCCAACTCCCCCTATCCCCCACCCCCTTATTTTAAGACAAAGTTTCGCTGGCTGGCCCTGGAACTCCATAGGTAGACCAGATTGACTTTCAACTCACAGAGGTCTGCCTCTGCCTGGCATTAAAGGCATGTGACACCATGCCCGCCCCACCTCCACCCCATCCTTGCTCTTGCATAGCTTTCCCAGGAAACCTTGGAGAAGTGAAGTGACCCATTCATTTAAGGTTACTGTGTTGAGCACTTTCACAGCTTTTCTGGTCATCTGCAAGCCAGTCCTCTTTCTGACCTGCCTGGAAAGGGTGCTCTTAGCTCAGCTGTGAGTGCACAAGCTAGGGTGTGTGTGTGTGTGTGTGTGTGTGTGTGTGTGTGCGCACGTGCAATCCTCACATCAAGTCTAAAGATAAAATAGATTAAGCTGTTCAAGTGCACAGAGCTAGTTGATAAGGAAGCCATACTTGAAGGCAGAGGTGACTGACTCAAAACCTACCGTTTCTACTGTACCACATAGTCAGTTAGGCTCTCGTAATGGACTCTCTCAGAGCCTCTCGGTTGTATGGTGTGAAACTGTGAGAAAAGTGACATTTTCTGTCCTGCCCGCTCCACTGCTAAGGGGTTCTGGGTCCAACTCTGATTCTGGCCTTTCTTCTATAACTGATGTACCTGACTCAGGAAGCTGTTTTTACTTTCTCCCTCTCTTCTTAGTCTGTCTGCCTCAAGGACTGCAGGAAGGAGCAGAAATTCCAGGCATGAGACAGGTGGAAAGGGAATGCCTGTGTCTCCCAGAATTTTATCCTGATTAAAACATGGATATTCCAGGGGTTCTAACTTGAGACACCTCTTGGTTTAAAGAAGGGCTTCCAGTATGGTAGAGGAACCAGGACATTTGAACCCACTCACTCTGTCCAGCTGGAAAGGACCCTCTTGAAGCCAATCCTACCCTCTTTCCTTCTATTTCAGAAGAGCACCAAAGCTCCTAGGCTGAGAGAACTATAGACCCAAAGCCCTCTGGGGCCACTTCAGCACTCTCCCATATTGGTCCCTGACAGGTTGTTTCCTCTAAGTTCTGACTTCTGGCTTTCCTTTGCTGTGCTAGATTCTGTTCAAGGATGAAAACCCTGTACAGCATCACAGACTTCTCTTGAGACTATCTGGAGTAAGCTATGATGGTAAATGTTCCCCGTTATCCAGCCACCCAAAGCCATCACAGACCCCATGGAGTGCAGGTTAAGGTCATGGGTCTTAGAAGCCTGTTTGCAGGGGCAAAGCTGAGGTGAGTGCTCAGGCGGCCTCTGCTTCCTCGGGTCCATTAAAAACAAAGATAAACAGTCACAGTGTGACAAAGATGGTGTTACAAAGGCCAGCAGGTGCTATGGTAGTCCCCGACCCCTTCCTCTACCAGTATTCATCTCTCAGGGACGGGTGGGGACCTCTGGATGGGACTCCTGGTCTAAGAAAAAACGTGAGGGTAACTCAGGCTGGCCAACATCTCAGAATGACAGCCCACAAATCCTGCTCCTTCAAACGGCTTTGTAAAGGAAACCAAGAAGGAAGCCTTAGAGTGTGGTGGTGGAGGAGGCTGAGAATCTCTCTCCCGGGACACCTGATCAATCTGATGTAAAGACAGGACAGCAGCGGCAGCATAAATTTCAAAAGTAAGCCTCCTGGTACCTATTACTAATTTCTGGTGGAGATTTGATGGATGGGGGAGGAAGCTGTAACTCCCACAGTGGGGCAAAAGGAGAGAGAAATGCTGCTTTTCTTTTCAAAGGCTTATACAACACAGTGTTAGCTGAAAGGACCATTAGCATGTGGCTGGGGGAGGGAATGCTGAGTTAGAGCTCTGGAGCCAGGCTACCTTTGTCTAAGAACCCCATGCTATCTAAAGTCAGCTTTAAAAAAAAATACACACACACACACACACACACACACACACACACACACACACACACGCGCGCGCGCGCGTCACTGTGTGGGCATGTGAATGCAAATACAAGTGCCCACAGAGGCCAGAAGCCTTGGATTCCCCTGAATCTGGAGTGACAGATGGTTGTGAGTGGTCCAGGATGGGTGCTGGGAACTGCTCCAGGAGAGTAGTATGCACTCTTTTTTTTTTTTTTTTTTTTTTCCGGTTTTTCGAGACAGGGTTTCTCTGTGTAGCTTTGCGCCTTTTCTGGAACTCACTTGGTAGTCCAGGCTGGCCTCGAACTCACAGAGATCCGCCTGGCTCTGCCTCCCGAGTGCTGGGATTAAAGGCGTGCGTCACCACCGCCTGGCCGAATGCACTCTTAACTGAGTAAAGCCTGCTTCCTGCTTTGGCTTACTGAGTAAAAACACCTGTCCATTGAATCCTCCAGGCAGTCTAGACTTTAACTCATTTTACCTACAGCCTCCTGAAGCCTGTTCAGAAGACTTTCAAGGAAAAGAGAAGCCTTTTAGGAGCTAGAAATGAAAGTAAAGAAATCACAGTCTATCCAATCCGGCATCTCACAATTTCAACCCTGATTTGTGCTCCTGGGGGAAATGAGACGACAAATCCAAAAGTCACAGTGACTTGGGAGTGAGTCTGAAGCCATTTCACTTATTCCTTCTGCTCCCCCAACTCCCTACCCAGACAAAGAGATAGGAAACCCTTGAAAAGCAGTCAACACCTCAATTTTTATTACCCTGACTAAGGAATCCCTCCAGGGCTGGAGATAACTCAGCAGGTAAAGACTGATGACCTGAGTTCAATCTGTGGAACCCACAAGGTGGAAGAAGAGAAACAACTTCCACAAGTTGTCCTCTGACACATGTGCCATTGCACCAGCATGACCACACACACACACACACACACACACACACACACACACACACACACACACACACGCACTATTAAATTTAAAAACATGTTAAAAAGAAACTCTTCCTGTGTTGTAATTTTAGTTTTTAACCCTACTTTGAACTTCTATTTCATTTCATTTCTTGATCTCACACTGAAGCTGGAAGATGATGGGCCTACAAAGTAATCATGTGCTCTTTATAGCAATACTGGACATTATTTCTTGGATTTAAATACTCCAACTTTTTAAATTAAAAAAAATAGCTATAGTGGCCAACAAGATGATTCAGTAGGTGATGGCAACTGCCACCAAGTCTGACAACTTATTTGACCCCCTGGACCCATATGGGGGGAGGAAGAACACTCACAAGTTGTTCCCTAACGGCCACACACATACCACAATCATTCAAAAAAAACACAACACACTTTCTGACCGCCATAGTCACACCATGGCATGCACTTACACACAACCTCACAATAAATAAACTACTTAATTATTTCATCAAAAACAAATTAAAAATGTAAAGGGGAAACTAGAGAGATAGCTCAGCAGTCAAAAGTGTTTGCTACCCTTGCAGAGCACCTGAATTCAGATCCTGGCCCTCATGTCAGGTGGCCACAACTGCCTGAAACTCCAGTTCAGGCCTCCACAGCTACCCACATTCATGTGAACATACCTACCTACACATGAAAATACATAAAATATATTTAAATTGCTATAGTAATCCAGGCATTCAAATATCTAGGAATAATCTTTTTTTTTCTTTTTTAATTCAGAGATTTTCTATTCATTTTACATATCAACCACAGATTCCCCTGTCCTCCCCCCTCCCACCATCTAGGAATAATCTTAAGACACATGTCAATTCTATATGATGAAAACTTTAAAACACAACGATGGGACACCCAAGACTTAAACTTACAGGAAGATTCTGTATCATAAATACAGCAATGCTCCTTTAGTCTAAAACCAGGTGATTCTGGTGGGCATTGGTAGCACACGCCTTTGAGGTCCCTGTACTCAGGAGGCAGAGGCAGAGGCAGGCGGATCTCAGTGAGTTCGAGGCCAGTCTGGTCTACAGAGTGAGTTCCAGGACAGCCAGGGCTACACAGAGAAACCCTGTCTCGAAAAGAATATTAGCAATAACAAAGTAAACTGTGGAAAGTTCTCACAATGTAACATGGCACAGCAGGGACGATGAATGGACAAAATGTATACATAACAAGACCGGATCCCATCGAAATGATTTGAACAAAGGAAGCCAGACACAGAAGAGTACATACTCAGTGACTCCCTTCTGAGGGGGGTAATGACAGGACGGGAACTCATGAGTGACTTTCTGGACACTGGTGATGTTGCTGTTTGACTTGGTGCTGGTTACCAAAAATATCCCATTTTTGAAAGTTCATCAAGATATGTATTTAATGGCCAGGTAAGGCAACTCATGCTTGTAGTCTCAGAACTCTTGAGGATGAGACAGGAAGATTACCTTGAGTTTGAGACCAACCTAGACTACATAGTGAGTTCCAAGCCAGCCTGGGCTACAGAACGAGATCCTGTCATGAACCAACAAGATGTACATTTATCATTTCTACATGTACTATGTATTAATTTTTTAAATGTCAAAATACATAGCATGAATCAATTTTTAAAATAGTGTGGTATTAGAATATGAATATATCAGTGGGGAAAATAGGCTTAAAAAGAGGCTATTAAGAGTGCTTACTATCTCTTGGGACCTGGGTTTGATTCCTAGCACTCACATGGTGGCTCACAACCATCCATAACTTCAGTTCTAGGAGATCTGACCCTCTTCTGGCCTCTTCAGGCACCAGGTATGCACATGGTGCACAGACATACATGAAATAAAATACCCATATGCATAAATAAATAAAATAGACTCAAAGACATTTGGAGTTTATAAAGACAATATTAAAAAACAATACAAAGGATTCGGAGAGTTGGATGAACCAAGCTGTATCTCTATCTCACATCTTTATGCCCATAATAAATTCCAGAAGAATCAAAATTTATACATTCAAAGATACAAAATACCTTTTAAGGAAAACAAGTTTTTAAAAATAATTTTAAGTAGTGACTTTTCTAAATGTGATATGAAACCCAAAAGTTATTTTAAAAAATTGATAAATTCAACTACACAAAATTCCTGGGGCTGTGGAGATGGTTCAGCCAGGTAAAGGCCTGCTCTGAAAGCAT